AACAAGCGTTCGGATATAACCAAAGTTGTGCAAAGTCCTTTGATTAGACCAGGTTAAGCACAAAGGTCAGTCTTAAAACGCGTGACCACTCACGTGCAAAGCACTCTGTAAATAACAATGAACCACTGTCAAACACTTTTTCCCATGCACGCGGGAAAATAGACCAATCAGGTCCTACATTTTTGTTTGCTTATGCTTCCTGCCTGGGCTACAGGTTTCATTGTGTCGCCGGTGAGCCAAAGTGAAGGACACTGGCGGCTTAGTGGTAGGTCGTTTGGCCTAGTATCTCGGTTAAACGTTTGTGAGCTTTGTTTGTCGTGTTACCAACCCTCCAAACAAGCACTTGTAAGATAGAAGCTTTATGGGGAAGCTGCTGGTTGTCTTGGCCCCATCCAGGTTTCCTGTAAAGATATATTGCAGTTTTTTCCTGGCCTCCCTGATGTTCCAGCTGTAGTATGAGTGATGGTAATGCTCAAATATGTGTCTTACGATCAACTTTGTTGTTTAAAAAAAAAGAATTTTTTATTCGCATATAACATGATTTTAATAATCAATTAATTATTTAAAATAATGTGTGTCGAAAGAGAAATATAGACGATATGTCTTCGAAAAGCACAAACCAACACTGTTGAATGTCTCAGCCACACTCGCCAATATTTAAAAATTTATCTCAACAAATTTAATCTCTGGTCCAATTTTCAGGGGGAGGGAGTTCGTCTATGGGGAATGTGCATGCTGCTCATTTGTGGGGATGGAGTGCTCCCATAGGTCACTCTCATCCCATAGACTCACAAATCGAGGTACCATACATTAAAAATGTTAGATTGAAGTATATCATGCCCAATATGGGGACCCAGACCCCCTGAGGGCATTAATTGCATTAGAGTCCAACACGGGGACCCAAACCCCCTGAGGACCGCCCAACATGGGACCCAAACCCCCTGAGGGCAGTAATTACACTAGAGTCCAACATGCGGACCCAAACCCCCGGAGGATAGCCCAACATGGGGACCCAAACCCCTGAGGGCATTAATTGCATTAGAGTCCAACATGGGGACCCAAACCCCCTGAGGGCATTATTATAAGTAATAGCATAAAAAGAGGCGAATTAGCTATTGAAACGTCCCGCCCGATGAGGGTCGTTTAGTAAAATTCCCTTGGGCGCCGCTCGATGAGGGTCATTCCGAATCGAGCGGCACCCAAGGGAATTTTACTAAACGACTCGACCCTCATCGGGCGGGACGTTTTCAATAGCTAATTCGCCTCTTTTTATGCTATTACCTTATAATATCATGATTGCGGGTATTCCCGTTGTTCTTGCAGAGCCATTAAAAACCAATTAACAATAAATAATGGTATAAATTAAATGGTATAATTGTTTTCCATGTCTTTGTTTAGTTTTGGCGATTTCAGATATATTCATTTTTTCTAATCGTACCCGCTTTGATGTCGTTTCGAGTAGGATTAGAACTAATTCTACCTGAATATAATGATGTGTATTAGTTATTAATTGCCCTGCGAGAACAAAGGGAATACCCGCAATCATGATATTAATTGCATTAGAGTCCAACATGGGGACCCAAACCCCCTGAGGATTGCCCAACATGGGGCCCAAAACCCCCTGAGGGCATTAATTACACTAGAGTCCAACATGGGGACCCAGATCCCCTGAGGACAGCCCAACATGAGGACCCAGACCCCCCTTCCGAGGGCATTAATTAGAGTAACTGTGAGTCTGTGGGTGTCACTTTGACCAGTTGAAAGTATATATTCGGAGCATTTCTCCCCAACAACCCTTCTCCCACAACATTGTGTGTGCTTTACTGTCTCATAGCTCTCTTAAATATTAACTAACCGAATTGAAGCATTAATATAATGGATAGCTGTAACTGTTTTAATCTGTTCTCCTTATAGAGGTCGGAAAAGGTGCATTAATCAGGAATATTAAATTAACCAAAAAAAACATTTTAACCAGAATACAGTATTTTAAAGTATTGCGGATATCTCACAACTTGTGAACAAGATGTGTTCGCAACAGGCTTGTAGCAAGCTCGTCAACAAGTTGTAACAACGCTATTATTTTATCAAGTTGCTACAAGGTTGTCACTCACAACTTGTTGACAAATTTTTCAATTACAGGACGATAACAAGTTGTTGGAGCGACTTGTAACAAGTCTGTTGAGCTCAGCAACCTTGTAGCAAGTTCAAGTTAACAAGCTGGGAACAAGCAGTGCGAAAACATCCTGTTGACAAGTTGTTGGAACGGCATTGCTACAAGTCTGCTGAAGGTTTATTACAACTTGTGCGTTTTTACGTGTGTTGGCGGAGGGCGGTGTGAACATTAGATCCGGAAATAGCCGACACAATATGATTCCTATAGTAAAATTATTGTAATACTTGATAAAACCGAATAGGAAACTTCTCAATTTGTTACAGAAACATCTTAAAATCTTGTTGTTTCTTCAAATATTGTTTTCCGGGAACCAATACTCACAAATATTTGTTTCGGAATACATGCTATACAAATGTTAGTGTGACAAATGGTTTGCCCAGTTTTGGGAGACACATGGATGGGAAAACCTTTGTGAAACATGGCTAGGAAATAATGGTTTGCCAACAATTAGAAACAATCGCTAATAAACGACGTTTTCGCTACAATATTTTCCAGTTTCTTCTGCGTCCTAGCCGTAGTGTAAAAAAGCTTGGTTGCTGTTTTATAACTTTGTGTACTCGAGACGCAGTTTAGTATATGCAGTTAAGGCCGCGGACAAACCGGACGCGATTCGACAACGTGGCGCGATTTTTCCATTTTCATTGACAGATGACATTTATCCTAGTTTAAGTTTTTTAAATATTTAGAAGAGCTATAACATTTTGAGTATATTTGGTCTACATGTCTTTTAAAATTTCCTTTCATTGGCTGTTTTATTAACTTTCAAAAACTGAAAAATAGCGCCGCGTTGTCGAATCACGGCCCGGTGTGTCTCGGCCTTTATATTCAATTTACCCAAGACTTACCAAGATTGAATAGGGAAAATAGCGGTGAATTCAATTGCAAGAGTACCAAAATTAAAGGCAAAATTCTTTCTATGACTTTGCTTGTATACGCCTTCACACTTTCACTTTACTGAAAAAACTACTGTGTAATCAAATAAATATCTTGGCAAATTCAGATGCAGCTGTAAGCAGCAAGCCTACCCATCGTGGAAACAGAAATAATGAAGAATAGAGAGGACGGGTGGTTGATGACAGAATCAAAAATTATATTTAAATGAGTTACGATTACGATACGAATAGGATTTTGAATGATTGAATTGACTTAAACCCTCCCGTTGAACAGTGCAAAAACCATCACGTGATCATAATCAGCCAATTAAATGACCAGAATTTAATTAGGTATTAATAACAGTTATATAATAAGGAATAGAAAATTCCAGAATTATGTATTAGTTATAGGCTATTATATAGTTATATTTACAGGTATATTTGTAAATTACTCGACGAGGAACGACAGCAGCCTTTGAAAAACTTACAAGTATATATATATATATATATATATATATATATATATATATATATATATATATATATATATATATATATATATATAAATCTATCAGCCCAACATTTATATAAATCAATCAATGATACATCAGAGCTCGTATAACAACTTTTTATTACGTTTCGGGGCAAGCCCCTTCTTCAGATTACATGTGTACACTTGATTTCAACAATTTAAACTGTCCATACCCTAATTACAATAATTCGCATGATTAACTCTATTGTTCAAACAAAGTCTTTTAAATTCAACCCATGCGGTTCAAACGAATTCAGTTTATATGCCCAAAAACCTTCTCTTTGTGTGGATGGACATGCAACATTAGTTTTATCAATAATTTTAACTTTCACATCTTGCATACCATTATGACCTTGATAAAAAAAATGAGCATACAAATGCTCGCTTGCCATACCCCTTTCACCTCTCCCATGTCTATTCATGCTACTTTTGTGGTTGTTAAAAGTTTCCTAAAACTGGTAATTGTACTCCCCACATACTTTTTCCCACATTTTCTACAATAAATCAAATAAATCACCCCAACCGAATCGCAATCAAAGTTGTAAAAATTCTTTCCCCTCATCTACATAATTACAAATCTGACAACGACTCTTATTACACTTACTCATCCCTACACTTACCTCCCTAGCCTTTTTAACCTTAGATCTAACCAAACTATCTTTTAAACTTTTTGGTCTCTTATATGAAATAATCGGCCTACTACCGAAGACATCCCTCATCCTCTCCGATGTCTCCAGAATCGGCCAAAGTGTTTCCACAACTCCATTAATTTCCTTTAATGCCGGATGAAATTCTACTACCAGTGGTACTCTATTACTCAAGTTAGAATTCTTCCTCTTATCCGTTTGGCGTAACATTTCAGCCCTATCCTTAACTTTAACCTCAGAAAACTGATCCTTAACCAACTTTTTGTTAAATCCTCGCTTTATAAAATGACCTTCCATTTCTTTAAGCCTATCCTGAAAAACTTTTTCCGAACTACAAATCCGTTTTAATCTTAGCGCCTGACCATAGGGGATTGCCTTCTTCACACGTGCAGGATGACAAGACTTGAAGTCTAAGTATTGATGTGTATCAGTCGGTTTTGAATACACATCCGCTTGCAATTTACCAGACTCCAATTCCACCCGCACATCCAAATAAGACACCCCCCTTTCCGAATATTCCCATGTATATTTAATTGTTTCATGATAATTCTTTACCATGAAGTCAAATAAAAAATATATCATCCAAAAATCTGAACCATACTGAAGGACTCAAGTGATACCCCGCCAACATTTTATTTTCCAGTTCTTCCATAAAAATATTTGCAAACGCTGGAGAAAATTTTGTGCCAATGGCTGTCCCTAACTTTTGTTTATACACTTTTTCACCGAATTCAAAATAATTGTTATCTAATATAATTTTGGCTAAATCAATCAAATCATCTACAGAAAGTCCCTCCCCCTTTATCCATACCACATTTTATTCTGAAATCCTCAATACTTTTTCTCATACTAGACAGACCTTCCAAATGAGGAATATGCGGGTACAGTCCCACAACATCCATTGTGCACAAAATCGCTCCCTCTGGAATATCACCCAAATCCTGCAGCCTTTTCAAAAAATCCGTAGTATCCCTTATAACATTGGGCAGACTCTTAACAATAGGTTGTAAATAATGATACTCTAATTCCGACAAACCCTCCGTCGGTGTCCCACAGTTAGATATAACTGGACGACCTGGGACATCAACCAGCCGTTTGTGAATTTTTGAAGCAAATAGAATCTGCCCAATTTATTATGCTTACCCCTTAGATAATTAAAATTCTTTTCGCTAATAACCGCCTTTCCTTTCAAATTCTCTAATTTATTCCGAACTATTTCTGAAACCTTTGCAAGTGGATTTCCTTCTTCCGATACATTTTCGTAAACTAAAACATCAGCCAATTGTCTATTAGCTTCCTTACAATAATCCTCTAATCCCCAAACCACTACCGCAGACCCCTTATCAGCCCCTTTTATTACTATATCCCTATATCCCTTTAAATTCTTAAAAGCTTCTCGCTCTTCCGCACTCAAATTACTAAAATTATGACCCCTTTCCTTAATAGCGAATACCTTATCTTGCAAGGCATTCAAAAATGTTTCTAATGCTGGGTCCACTTTACTCGGGTACCATGTAGACTTTTCTCTAAACTTACTTAATCCTTCTACATTAATTTCACTCAAGGGTTTATCTTTAAAGTATGCTCTACATTTCATTTTCCTCGAGAATTCAGCTAGATCTTGTGCTAGTTTATGTTTATCAATCTCTTTTGCTGTGGCACAAAAATGATTGATTGATTTAGCCAAAATTATATTAGATAACAATTATTTTGAATACGGTGAAAAAGTGTATAAACAAAAGTTTGGGACAGCCATTGGCACAAAATTTGCTCCAGCGTTTGCAAATATTTTTATGGCAGAACTGGAAAATAAAATGTTGGCGGGTTATCACTTGAGTCCTTCAGTATGGTTCAGATTTTTGGATGATATATTTTTTATTTGGCTTCATGGTAAAGAATCCCTGTTGGAATTTTTAAATTATATTAACAATTATCATGAAACAATATTCGGAAAGGGGGGTGTCTTATTTGGATGTGCGGGTGGAATTGGAGTCTGGTAAATTGCAAACGGATGTGTATTCAAAACCGACTGATACACATCAATACTTAGACTTCAAGTCTTGTCATCCTGCACATGTAAAGAAGGCAATCCCCTATGGTCAGGCGCTAAGATTAAAACGGATTTGTAGTTCGGAAAAAGTTTTTCAGGATAGGCTTAAAGAAATGGAAGGTCATTTTATAAAGCGAGGATTTAACAAAAAGTTGGTTAAGGATCAGTTTTCTGAGGTTAAAGTTAAGGATAGGGCTGAAATGTTACGCCAAACGGATAAGAGGAAGAATTCTAACTTGAGTAATAGAGTACCACTGGTAGTAGAATTTCATCCGGCATTAAAGGAAATTAATGGAATTGTGGAAACACTTTGGCCGATTCTGGAGACATCGGAGAGGATGAGGGATGTCTTCGGTAGTAGGCCGATTGTTTCATATAAGAGACCAAAAAATTTAAAAGATATTTTGGTTAGATCTAAGGTTAAAAAGGCTAGGGAGGTAAGTGTAGGGATGAGTAAGTGTAATAAGAGTCGTTGTCAGATTTGTAATTATGTAGATGTGGGGAAAGAATTTCTCTAGGGAAAAGTAAAATACTACATTAATTACAACTTTGATTGCGATTCGGCTGGGGTGATTTATTTTGATTTATTGTAGAAAATGTGGGAAAAAGTATGTGGGGAGTACAATTATACCAGTTTTAGGAAACGTTTTAACAACAACAAAAGTAGCATGAATAGATATGGGAGAGGTGAAAGGGGTATGGCAGGCGAGCATTTGTACGCTCAATTTTTTTATCAAGGTCATAATGGTATGCAAGATGTGAAAGTTAAAATTATTGATAAGACTAATGTTGCATGTCCCACACAAAGAGAAGGTTTTTGGGCATATAAACTGAATTTTTAAAAACAATGGGTGTTTCGTGTGTAACGTGTCATACTATATGTTTTACTATTATTATGAAACGTGTGGTGTAACGCGTGATGTAACGTGTGTGTAACGTGTCTAGTCAGTACGTAAAAATAGACTGATATTTTGCGCATGCATGTGCGACCAGATTGGCTTGAGCTCATCTCACCTAATCCCAAAATCATAGGAGATGGAAGCATACAATAAATTCTAGTGCATGCAAGTTTACGATCGGTAAGTCCGTATATCAACATAACTAAAAAGCTTGAATTGGGTTTAAAATCTAGTGAGTATGTCAATACGTAACAATTCAGCTAAAAGTTGGAAAATCATTGATATGTTTCCAAAATTGTATGTAAGTAGGTCAGAACGATGCATTGTCTGTTATAAAATTCTTGATTTAAAGGAAATATTCTGTTTGAGAGAAAAAATATACAGATGATTGTCAGCTATGGGAAAAAATTGTCTGAAATTTATATATTATTTCATAATTTTCTTCCAGTGTATATAGTCATCAATTAATCATCCTTTCCTAACAAAAAAATACTATAGTTCTCAAGATCCCCTATATTCTTTTTGCATGAAGTACTCAGCCATAGAAGACCGCTGAGAAAAAATATTATATAGCAAAAGGTTCATTCAGCAAGAAATCCAAGTCAGCGTCTTCCCTGGAGCAATAAGTTGAATCGACATGAACGAATTACGTTTCATTCAAAAGTACAAATAGAGACAATCTGGAACAAAAATTATTGAGACAACCGCATAAATGCCCCCTCACCCCCAATTCAATGTTGTGTGAATGACTGAAAAGGGAAAATTCAACCCACTTTTTCCCACATTGATCATGGGGGCAGGGAGAGGCCGACGCACTTTAAAATGGCGAAAAATGTGAAAAGTCTCATCATTTTTGCACGCGATTGTAGCTCGCTCCAAATGATTTTTGGAGTTAGCCAGTAACTCCACATTTCATATTTCAACTCAGTTTTTAATTTCACAAGTTTCTACAGGCATGTATCGAATAGATAGGATCTTCTATATTGGGTGCTAATTATCTAACAATTGTCGGGTTCTGGCTTAAGGGGACTGATTGTCGAGTGTAATTAAAGTGACCAGGACTAAATTTAATAACTGTCGCTGTTTCGCCGATCTGCGGCTTTGCATGGTATTGTGAATTAGGTCTGTAATGCACAGACTTACTGTTCATAAACTAGAACTTTGATGCTTTAGGACTTAATAATACCTAGCTGACCTATAACTCTCTATATATTATTGTTTCGCTGAAAACCGTTTTTGTTATATTATACTCATGAACAACGTTAAGTCTATTATCATCAAACACAACGCACATATAATTAGGAACAGCCAATGACAGAATACACGCATTCCGCGCATTCTTTCGATAGCATAAAAGCAACCTACATTTCGAAATTACTCACCACCTGATGATTCCTATACGGATGAAACAGATTGTTGTGGTTTTTTGAGGTAAAACGAAAAACTATATTATATACGCTCTATCTATATGGTATTTATATATATTTATATATATATATATATATATATATATATATATATATATATATATATATATATATATATATATATATATATATATATATATATATATATATATATATATATATATATATTTAGAAGGCCGTGTCAAGTGGCCGAAAATTTATTATTTGTATACTTTACTTTAGTCATCTTTAATAAATTCTTCGATACGTAGCCATTTCTTTGTTGTAATATTATGTGCTGTTGGCTAAGGCAAGTTTTGGTCATTGTCGTATATTTAAATTTACTCAACTTGTTCTTCATGAAGCGTATCGAAGAAATCAACATTTCACAACTTTATAATAATTTATTTTCATGTCGAGAGAGGTCTCTTCGATTTCAACATCATACAAAGTTGTTAAGTTATTATCAAAAGCGTAAAGCGATTCCTAAAGGCTTTTCTATTGACTTTCACACGGGTGCAACGGATAAAACTCTATTAACCAGAATAGACTCGGTTTTAAAGAAATGCTCTAATAAACTGATGACAGTGTTTAAGGGTTATTACAAGCAAAAGTTACGAAGTCTTGATCGTGAAGAGAACAGACTGATTACTGGTCTAAAGAAATATCACCCACAATGGGCAAGTATGATTTTAAAAAAATTGGAAGAAAGGAGTGTGAGGATTAATGAATTGAATTAAAATAGGCGGTTACGGAAATATTTTAGAGACAGAATTTCACCTTCGGAAAGAATACAGACAGAATTAGAAGAAGTGAATGGATTGGTCTCGGAGAGATATTTATACTAATGTTCCGGAAAAAGTCATCAATGCCGGAATTTGTACAGCTGACATAACTGACCACTTGCCGGTATTTTGCACAATAGCCAACAAACTGCCTGAAATAGATCGTATTCAGTATTCTAGAGACTTTTCAAATTTTAATAAAGATATGTTTCTTAATGACATTCAAAATATTAATTTCCCCAACTTGATTAGTGAAGAGGATGTTAATGTTAGTATGAATAATATTATAGACATACTTCAGGACATCACTGATAAGCATGCTCCGGTATGTAGGTTATCGAATAAAAAAAGAAAAAGGAAAAATAAACCATGGATAACAAACGCAATATTAGTCTCCATAAAGCACAAACAAAAACTGTTTAAAACGCATTATTTAACTAATGATCCCATCACAGTAAGAAAATATAAAACCTACAGTAATAAATTAAACAAATTAAAAGAAATTGCTAGAAATAATTATTTTAAAAATAAATTTGCACTTAATAGTGGAAACATGAAAGCAACCTGGAAGATAATAGGGATGGTTATAAATAGGAAAAAGAGTTCTTCTCAACCCATATTAACTAAGTTATTATATAAAAATAAACTATATACAAATAGAACGAGCATTGCCAATCAATTGAATAATCATTATATAAATCTAGGTAACCAACTCGCTGAAAAGATACCATGTCATAATACTACACCTGTTAGTTATATTAAGAGGTCTTTCCAACACAGCTTTATGTTTCGACCTATAGACTCTAATGAGATACGTGATTTAATTATGAATTTAAAAGTAACAAAATCTGTGATTGGGCTACCACAAAAAATCATAAAATTGGCATGTGATTATATAACTGAACCACTTACAGAATTATTCAATCAATCTTTACTTCGAGGTGTTGTCCCTGAGATTTTAAAGATTTCAAAAATTACACCGATTGATAAAGGGGGCGAAACAATTGACCCAACAAATTATCGACCTATTTCAACTTTGTCCGTCTTTACCCAAATCTTTGAAAAGTTGGTCTATAAGCAACTCTTGTCTTATGTCGAGAAAGAACACATCCTTTATGAATTTCAGTTTGGTTTTCGTAAAGGACATTCAACCACACAGGCAATAACAGAAATTACTGAAACATTGAGGAAGTCAATCGATGAAGATTTGTATACTTGTGGAGTTTTCATAGACTTTGCAAAAGCATTTGATACTATGAATCACAATATACTATTGAACAAATTGGAAACTTACGGTATAAGAGGTCTTCCACTACAATGGTTTGCAAGTTATCTTTCTAATAGGAAACAATATGTAGCACTTGGAGATTTTGAATCAACGAGACAGACTATGATTTGTGGGATTCCACAAAGGAGTACACTGGGACCATTGTTGTTTTTAATTTATATAAATGATCTTCCAAATTGCTCCGATAATTTATTATTTAAAATTTTTGCCGATGATACAAATATTTTTGCTACCTCTAGTAACCTAAAAACCCTTGAAGCTTTGATGAACACTGAACTTGATAAGGTTAAAGAATGGTGCGATGTTAATAAGTTATCAATTAATATAAGTAAAACGAGTTATATGATTATAAAGCCCGCCAGAAAAAAAGACTTTTCGACAACGATACAAATTAAAAATAATGATGGAACGTACAAAAAATTGATCGGGAAAGATCATATTAAGTATTTCGGTATAATGCTAGATGACACGATATCTTGGAGCTATCATACACCATATATATGTTCTCGAATATCTCGTGGCATTGGCATTTTATCCAAACTGCGACATTATCTCTCTATCAAGCAATTATCACAAATTTATTATAGTGTTATTTATCCATATATATCATACGCGGTTTTGGCATGGGGCAGCGCTTGCACGTCGCTTATACAAAAAGTACAAGTGAAACAGAATCATGCAATCAGGTTAACATTTTTTGTAAAGTTATATGGTAAAGACACTGCAAGTGCTCTCCCATTGCTAAATTTGCTTGATATCTTAACAGTTCAAAATGTATATCGCCTACATGCCTTGAAATTTATTCATGCGTGGCACAAAGGTTTGTTACCACACATTTTTGATAATTTCTTTCAATATTCAAGAGATGTTCATATATAGTTATAATACCAGATACTCATCTAATTTAAATATGTATAAACCATATGTTCGAACTAATACCGGTAAACAGGCAATTTCTTTTGGAGCAATTGATTTATGGAAGGATCTTCCGGATATAACCAAAAATCTACCTTTGTTTTCCTTCTTTAAGCAAGTTAAAACCTACTTATTGGCTAAACAACATACCTATTGAAATTTGCATCATCTATATGATATAAATTTTACTTATTATATATTCTTCAGCTTTTCTATTAACAAAATCTAATGGAAAATTAATATTTTCTTCAGTTGTCTGACATAATCTATATTAATCTAATAAGAATAAGAATAAAATTCAATGGAAGCTAACTAGAAAACCTAACGGTTCATTTAGCTTTCAAGCTCTAAAAATGTTATTTAAAATATTAATTCTATCTATGTACCTATTATTTAAAAATTGTGTATTATTTATGTATTTCTATATCTACGAGTGAAATAAAGTTGTATTGTATTGTATTGTATTGAGATGTAAACCTATTAATCTGACAGACATTTCCCTCGATCAAAATTTTGTACAGCTGTGTAGTTATGGTCCAACATTTGTTCCAACACCTAGTGCAATTGACTGGAATGAGATACAACAGGCTTGGTTAACCATTAAGAAGAAGATTAGATGGCGAACATTGTTTCATTCAAAGCAACCAGCTAGTAAAGAAGTAAATAATTTAGACCCGCCTTATCAGAAGTCCATAAAAGATCCACCAATGGCAAGTATACCAGCAATTGAAGTATTTTTAAACAGAGTAGAAAATGATTTGTTTAGACAAACAGTATACAAGAATATTGATGATAATTTAAAACCAGAGGAAAGGAAAGTTCTAAATGAGTTTAGATCAAAATCGATAGATGAACAAGATATTATTATAAGAATGCAAGATAAAGGCAATAACTTTGTTGTATTAAACAAAACATTAGATCAAAATAAGGTTAAAGAACAAATGGAGCGTGGTAGTTTTAAAATTATTGATAAAGATCCCTCGGTAGATACATTTAAGGATATTAATGAGTGGGTGGAAAAGTGGAAACATTTAGGTTTATCGGATAAGTGGTTAAAATTTATTACCGGTGCCACTGATGTTCATCCTGGAATAAATTACCCACTTATTAAAACACATAAAGCCAACAACCCTGCTAGAGTGATCACCTCAGGTTGTGGGACTCCCACCGATAATTTGTCTCTCTTTGTGGAAACATACTGTAAAGTGGTTGTTGATTCTATTGAGTGTAG